CAGTAATTTGTAACCCCCTCTGGCTAAGGAAAATGGTAATGTAGTGTTTGTGGCCTATCAGTTCTCTGTGAGCGTGTGCCAGGCCATTATTACCAAATGGGATGACAATATAATGAGCTCCTCGTATGGCGTCAGCTTCACAATGTGCTGCCATATTGGACACGCCCACTGGACTCTTCGAGCAGGGCATAAAAGTCATTATTAACTTGGCAACCGTATCTGTATGTATGTGAATGTTGGCCACCTGCTTAGATTCTGCAACAATATGCTTAGACGCCCTTTCATTTACTGTATGCTAACAAAAGAAGTGGGGGAGGTTTGCTGGACATATTGGGAAGTTTCACATCTTGCAGTGTTTAAAGTACGTGGTCTAAAAAAAAGTCATTCCAATTACACTTTCATTGCCAGAATCTTCCTGCCTGGGACACATGTAGCTTCTAAGCACAGATCACTGATGCAATCCACTTGCTGGGGTTTAGCTAAAAATGCTATTTGTTTTTATCAGGTATCATTTTGTGAATTTCACCTCACAAACTGGCAACCTAAAAGAGGGAGTCGATCTGGTTTTCGATCATAATAATTGCCTGAAAATTGTAAACATAAATACAATGGACATGATTTATTAAAGGCATATAGAAGGATTTTCCCAAATTTTAGGAAAGAACCGCCTCCTCCACTTTTTGAACAAAACTATCTGGTCTTTTTTGACGAGCACGTATCACCAGAATGATTAACAATTGGGAGGACTAATATTCTTGATGATCCACCCGGAAGTAGAAAATCCTAATAGACCAAAAATGAATTGTATATGTTGAGCTAATATCTGAGGACACATATAAAAGATGAAATTTAAAATGAAACTATGACATACTGTCCCTTTAAACCCATGTGATAGAGTGGAGGATGATGGTTTGAATACTATTGGAGGAATATTAGAGCATATTGGACAGCACTGCTTTGTCTATGAGAGCGCTATTACTTTTTCAAATCTAAAATAAGAGCAATAACTGTATAGTAAAGCATTCCAAATCTGTTACGTTTATTTCAACAAAGGCTTCCAAATCCAATTAGGTGCTGTCTCGTTCGCTAGGCTTACATAACACAATGCAAAGATTAGAAACATCTTTTGAGCATGTTGTAATTTCCTTTGTCAACCACCTGCTTACAACAGACACAAACACCATACGTTCAGTTTGCTATTTAAATACATGCATACACACATACTGTACGTCTTGCCTTTTGATAACTTTCATTCAAATAAGACCTTGTATTTTTTCTGTTTACCTGTTCCCTCACAAAAATAAGCAATTTTGATACAATAGATGCAATGCAATAACAATCATGCATTCTAACAAAGCCAAACAAAGGAAGTCTTAAATTACAGTCCACTTAAAAACAATGTGAACAACTGCCTTGGAACCAGTGTAGCCAGGGAGTAACAAAAACCATCGCTGTGGTAATGAAAGGCTGCCCTCTAGAGGCAATGAAGGGTTCTGTTTGGAAGAAGGACAAAAGAAGAGACCAATAATGAGCACATGGCTTAATGATCTGCTTCAGTGGGGGTGTTGGATGTCAAATTGTGCAGCAGAGTGTTACATGTAGTGCAAATTACCTAGCTATTCTTTGTTACTGTTGTAGTTTACAAATGACAAGAGCTTAACCGTGAAACCTTTGGGCGTGAAGCAGGAGTAATAGTCTTTACCATAGAAATTCCTTGCACTCTCAAATCCATTCACTTTCTGCAATTTTGACTGAGAAAGGCGCTCGGAGTCTGCACTTACACCAATCCTCGTCTGACAAATGGAAGGCTGTGGTCAAACTATAGGCCACTGCAGTCTGTATGAAAGGATAATTGGGGAAGAAGTGCAGGCCTTCTATCTTTGGATGGATGCAAAACGGAAAGCCAAGACACTCCTCGAAACTACCTCTGATGCTTTGATACAACACAGTACATCGTGGGAGATACAATTGAATACATAATTGTGTCTATTGACGTATACAAAGTTATCACCGCGGTAAAGGAGGTAATATTCTTGCTAGGGCGTGTTTGTTCGTATATCTGTCCATCTGTTTCTTTGTTTCTTAATTTGCTACATTACTAAAAAAGTGATGGGTGTAGATCTTTTGGAAAGCTCAGAAATGGAATGACTGATTATATAATTATCATTTGAACCATTTCTGAAAGGACTGGAACTGGTCTGGGCTCTATAAGTCTGGTTCTAGTTGTACATTAGGATGCGTTTTTATTTTATTTTTGCATATTTTTTTATGAACTGTATATTAGTTTAAGGTGAAGATGAAAAAAATGTATATTTTGTTATGGGGACATACAGCTTCTACAAAACTTTCAGAGTGCAGTGAGTAGCATCAATGCATAATCCATGGACATTTCTCTCAACATAACCAGAATGGCTGAATAGCTGGATCTTTATTGTGAATATTTCATAACTATGTGGGGTTTAGCTATAGAATGACCTTGTAACTATTTTCAGAAACCATGAGACGTTGGAGAATCAACAAATGGTTCTAGGTTTCAGATTCAAAGCCTTAATAAATACCTGGGATTTTAATAATTTAAAAAAACGTTAGGTAAAAGCTATTGGTTTGTAACAATACACCGTCTATGAATACATGATAATTGGTCCGGCTTCATCCCTATTGCTACAGAAAAAACATCTTTACATGACTCTAAAATATATTAATTTACTTGTCCATCATGTGCAATCGGCTGCATCATGTTTGCAGTTTGAGGTAATTGGCCACTTCACACAAACTGAAGCTCGTTTCTCACTGAGCAGACTCCCCCCGCTCCCCGAGACGCTCCCCCCCCTCCTCCTATGAACAAGTGCCAATCCTGCTGCCGCCGTATTTGAAGGCTCTCCCCACTGACAGCGGATCATCTCCCTTTCATTCAAAGAAATAAAATAAAATAAACTGTGTGTCTATTGATGTGCCGTCCCAGCAGGAGCGGCGAGGATTCAAAGCCTTTTTAACAGTCACACTTGGATGTTATTGTTTTAGAGGTGCATTCAAGGGGAACCGTGCTGCACTCATAATAAAGTGTTGCATTTCAATTCATGTTTCATCACCTCCTGAAGAATTAGTTCAATCTGGCGTGCGTAACTTTCAAAATAAAAAGGTGCATTGTATTGAAATCCATCTAACTTGTTCTCAAATATTTTTGCTTCTATCATTTTTTGGCCTTTGTCACATCTAGCGTTTTGCTGATTTGTTCACAACATTTTAATTTGTACAAGACATTTTCGGTTGGGACAAAGAAAAAGCAACATTTGTGAAGAAAAATAAGTTGGGTATCCCTTTAATTCTTTAGAACTGCCTTTGTATTTGGGTGATATTAGTAGTAACAGTATTAGAAGTAATAGTAGTAATAGTAATTGTGGTAGTAGACGTAGTAGTGAACGGAAGCGAGGTAGAATCAACTGTGAGGCACAGCGTTTTAAAAACAATGTGCAAGACCATATTTTATACTCAGCAGCATATGTTACAGTTGACAACAAAACTAGGTAAAACAAGTATTTTTGGTTATGAAGCTAAAGCAGAAGTTCAGACTGAAAGACAGGAAGAACTAAGATCACTGCGTTCAAGTCCTCTGATCAGTCAATCACATTCATGCTCACCTTGCAGCAAGTAAGCATCCAGCCTTCTTATCGTGCAGGAAGCTTTTTTCAAGCAGCAACCCTCCTCCTCCCCATCACCGCCTCGTCTGCCGGACCAGCTCCTTCACCCTCCTGCTAGCTACCACCACCAGGATCTAGACCCCTGGGGATTTAATCTTATAATCGCTATTCTAATTTCCCCTTGTGCAATCATCATGCACAGTGCTCTGCGGGGGTCTCAGCGTTTTAACCACATGCAAATATACAACTCTTCGGAGTCGTATATTGCAAACCGATACAATGAACCCCTTGTCTCTCCAGATTGAAATTGGTATAGGATGGAAGAACATTGTGATTGTACAGAAACTATTGTTTTTGTCAATAAGGAAAATTGTGATTTGTCACAGCCATGCTTCAGATTGGGTACGTCAGTCTCTGTAATCGACTACTTTAAAACTGTGCGTCAGTTCGTACAGGTGACAATGCAAGTCTGACATGAACTGAAGCTGTCATATATTGGACACTTAATCAATCCAAGTAAAATAAAATATATTTTCTAAAGGGTTACATAAAGGCCTGTCTTTGTGTTATAAGCCTTTTCATTTCAGAGACATGCGTGGGGGCAGATGGTGCTTTGCTTCATTTCACCAGAGATGAAACATAATCTATATGTGGTAAATGGGAATGGAGTCTAAAGCTTTTGTGCTTTCATGGTGAGAAAACGCATCTGTCAAGTTTTGAAGCAGAGAATTCAATAGAAAATAAAAAAGTTGGTAATTACATGCATTCACTCATTGTACCTTATAATAAAGCACTCATCACCCATGTACCTGCGCATGAAATTCGTTTTTTTGAAAGAAGCAAATATACCAAACACAGATTGTAGCATTGTCCTTCACTTTAAGCTGGGGCAATAATAAAGCTCTCAAATCAATGATCTCAAATCAGTTTGGTTCCATCACTATTTTCACATATATGCACTTATGGCCTCTGTACAGTATACAAAAGATAGAATATGTCTTTTTTATTGAGATAAGATTTATTGTTGTTATTTTTGAATCGATATGATTTGTGTAAAGTGATTTGATAAACAATCTTTGCACACAGGTGATCTCATTTCTACATGTATCCTATTATTGTCATTTTGGGGTATTTAGTTATATGTGTGTCTATAGAGGTTCTGAGCATCCTGGGCCTGGCTCCTCTCCAGGCCTTGGTCATATATAAATGTGTGTATATAGAGGTTCTGACCGTGCTGGGCCTGGCTCCTCTCCAGGTCTTAGTCATATATAAATGTGTGTATATAGAGGTTCTGACCGTGCTGGGCCTGGCTCCTCTCCAGGTCTTAGTCATATATAAATGTGTGTATATAGAGGTTCTGACCGTGTTGGGCCTGGCTCCTCTCGCGCTCCTCCCTCAGTTCTCCTCTCTGGGTCTTCAGGCGGGTCAGCTCCTCTCTGCTGCTGCAGCTCAGCGTCTGCAGCCTGCGGCTCAGAACCTCCAGTCGCTCACGCTCCAGAGTCACGGCCCTCATCTCCGCTCTCAGCTCTTTGGCACTGCCGAAGTCATTACCTGAACAGCAACAACACATTGGTCCATGAGGCTGGGGTTAGTTAAGACCTGGTTTGAATCATGGTTGGGAGTCTTACTGGTTCATTCCTGCTTTACTCATGGTCCAGTCCTTGTTCTGGTTTAGTCCTGTATTAGTCCTGGTTCAGTCCTTATTTTAGCCCTGGATTACTCTAGCTTTGGTCGTGTTATACAGTTTTGCTTTGTTCGTGTTTTAGTCCTGCTTTAGTCCTTTTTTATCACTGTTTTAGACCTGCTTTAGTCCAGCTTTAGACCTGCTTTAGTCCAGCTTTAGTCCTGCTTTGGTCCTGTTTTAGTCCTGCTTTAGTCCTGCTTTAGCACTGTTTTAGACCTGCTTTAGTCCAGCTTTAGACCTGCTTTAGTTCAGCTTTAGCCCTGCTTTAGTCCAGCTTTAGCCCTGCTTTGGTCCTGTTTTAGTCCTGCTTTGGTCCTGTTTTAGTCCTGTTTTAGTCCTACTTTAGCACTGTTTTAGACCTGCTTTAGTCCAGCTTTAGTCTTGCGAAATGATGAATGGATGGATAGGGCCACACAGCTCATCCTGCTTGGGGATTTATACCTTTTTTACATGTGGTTTAATCCGATAAGCTTTGGTTTTAGTGCAGGTGAACATACTGTACTGGTTTTGATGATTCTGGAGAGTTGTTGGCAGCGCTCGAGTCATTACCTGATCACCACAAGACCGCATACAGTCCAGCACACATTAACAAGCTCTCAATCATTAGTGCTGTAATTAAGACCGAGGCCTAATGGCAGTCTCCCCTAAATGAGGTGAGTGAACGAGGAGAAATCAAAGACTGGGTGTAAATGATAACTCAACATACAGTTTGCAATAATTATATGGTTTTACAAAGTCTGTCCACAAATACAGTAGATGCATCATACTTTTATTTACAAAGAAACCAGGTCAAATTTTACATTCTTATTCAATCTGAACAATTTGCAAGCCCTTGAAAGTGAAACGCCCCATTTAAAACATGTGCTCTAGCTAGTTAGCCTAGTCTTGATTTAGAATTTTTATATTTCAATTCAAGGGGATTTAACTTGCGGAACCAGAGTGAACTGCCCAGTATTGCGCTGCATTGCATTGTGTAAAAGCTGGGATAACTAACTTTGAAAACTTAAAAGGTAGTGTAGTTTTTACTCCTATCTAGCATTGAGATCATAATAATTTACGGTAGCTTCGCAGGACAATATGTCGTCTATGACAGTGGTCCCCAACTTCCAGTCAAACTCCTTTTTGTCCCTTATCAATCACTGTATATTGGCTGTATGGCGCATTGACGTAGAGAGTCCTCCAGCTCTCATGTACATTTATAATTCAAATTCAAGTCTATGACAACAATTTGAAAACATGGAGGTCACGTGATTTGTTATTGGTCAACATGTTTTTTCATTTGGAGCAACTGTAAAAATTACACAGAGCACCTTTAAAAAAAATAGAACTATGTAATAAAATGTATGGAGTTCCTTGCTCTCATCCCTCGTTTTCAAATGCATGTATTTTTGCCCTCTTTCATATCTTTATTAAGTAATACAGAGAGAACCTCCGCTCTCAGCCCAAAGAGTCAAGTAGTTACTCACAGGACTCTTTGTTACCAGAATGCAAAACGTAACATCACATTTTTAATAAGATGGAGAAAAAATGTCTGATTTGTGCAGAAACAACTTTACTTTTACAAAGACAATCAACATTAGGTTAGATACACCAGCTGTACGTGTGCTTGTGTGTAATGAAGTCACCTGAGATTGCGGCCAGTTTGGCTTCGTGCAGCGTCAGGAGCTGAGTTTCTGAGTCACTGACTTTTCTGCGCAGACTGCTGCCCAACCGCTGACTCATCACCAACTAAACACACACACACACACACACACACACACTGCATCAGTTTGAACTTGTGAGTGCATTTGTTTATGTATAGAGATCTCATTAACAGCTGAAAGCAATGCAAACAGCTCGTCATCCTGGGTCCACTAATTAAAAAAGACAAAACATACATACAGTTATCAACATATGAATTATAAATGTTGACCAATAAAAACATTTTTTGAGCGGATAAATTGAAACATACATTGAATTGAGAAGGAAAACATGATACTGCTTTAGAAATAAGTTCAATGCTGCTAGGATCATTGCCAAATGTTTTAAGTCAGTCAAAACATACTCCATTCATTGTATCCTTCTATAATTCAAACTATTATTAACTTATATGTGGTGTATGTACTTTGATAGTATATTACTCAAACTGTAGTGTATGTCTCTTAAAGTGAATATCAGCCACTTAAAATGAGTTTCATGAAATTGTGTATATACAGTATGTAATTCTAATGAGGTTCACTTCCTTTTGGATAATCCTCTATATTCCATCGAAGTTCAGGTAAAATCATATTGAGATCCATAGACTCCAACTCGCTTCATAACCTTTAAAAACATTGCTTGTGAAGGATGCCATTTTAACACCAGGGATGAAAAAAGCCTTAAATGTCGTACGGCTGATGGGAAATAAGCAGCGCAGCCTTTTCTGCTCTCTGTGGATTTGATGTGTTCAGATAAAGGCAAACGTGTCCCCGGCTCTGCCCTTTCGGAACATTCACTTTGAGCTAAAACATAGAGCTCACACAATCCACCGCCGTCCAATCAGGGACCAGGAAGAGGGAGCTGTGAGTCATTCTCTGCTCAAATCTGATTCAGTTCCGTTTTGGCAAAATAATTCAGAGATTGTGTTTAGATTTGAGATGTATGATTGTTTTGTTCAAAGTGCAAAAAGATGTACTGATAAAACATCATCTTTAAAAAATAAAAAAAATCTTGTTTAACATGAGTTGTTTGAGTAGTTTAATCCATAGTAAAAAAAAAAAAAGGTTTCTCAACTTGAAGATTAAGTAACTGACCTTGACTTTAATTGTGTGTGCGTGTGTGTGTGTGTCTGTGTGAAAACTTGATTTCCTCAAAAAGTAAAACAACAAAACAAAAAACACTTGATTATGTGAATACGGAAGCTTCAACATTGTCAGGTGAAATAAATAAAAAATTGGAAAAACATATATCACATTATAACACTTATGAGGACCCATTGTATTCCACATTTCTTTATACTACAGAGGCCACAGACGCCTGCAGCTGTGTGCGTATATGTGTGTGCAAACAGTGAAAAGACACAACCCTGGGGACAGTTTGTATACAAATGTATGAAAAGCTATGGTATTCACACACACGTCACTGAGCTAATGTAGAGAAGCCCAAAGCAAGCACCTTTATGGTAAATAACATTATCATCACAGCCAATGAGCCAATTTGAGACGGACAGACACACAAACAGACATACACACGCGAACACACACACACACGCACACACAAATAGACGCACGGGCATACAGACACACAGTAACACACACAGACAGTCACACAGACACATAAACAGCCAGACACACAGATAGACACACAAATAGCCAGACAGACAGACACACACACTAACACCCACACACAAACACAGACGGACAGACACCCGACAGACACACAGACAGATAGACACACAGAGAGACAGTCCAATGTAATGCAATGGCACTTACTTTGGCTGTAGCTTCTTTGATGGACAGATTCAGGGCCTGTTCTTGCTCCTGGAGTCTGCAAAATAGGTTGACATTATGAGCACGGTCTGATAACAAAAAAGATAAATGTAGTTGCAACTTTTAGTCTTTCGCAATCTTTTTTATGCAATCAAGTGCATAAAAAAGTCCTAGATATAAAACCAACCATATGTCCATGTGTTTTTATACATATCTGAATGTCAATCCTGAATATTCTTCAGAATGTGTGTTGTGTTTTATCTTTTTTTTATTATTATTATTTTTATTTATTATTTTTGGTTCTCTGTTATAAAAGTTTTCAAAATGATTGACCTGGAATTATTTCACAATTTAACTATTGTTATCCTTTGGAGATACTGTTTTGATTTTTTTAATTTCAATCTTGAGATTCACAAAACACAAAACTTTACAAAGTTGTCGATTCACCAACAAGACACCAGAGACTACATTGATAGTAAGAGGTATATTTGGGACACTCTGATATGTTCACACATACATAATTTTAAAACTAATTCTCTCAAGAAAACAACCAAATCATGTATGGAATGTCTGCAATAACTGGCTTTTTTAAATTCTGGTCCAGTTCCGGTTCAGTCCAAGCATGTATTCATTTTGTACAGAAAAATCTAAAACGTAAGTCAAATATATGTACTAATTTGGACAAATTACCTGAAATTAATATAAACTTTCCGTAGAAATGAATCAATATTGTGGTATGACAGTAAAAACAGCTGTCGGACAGGGGCACGTGAAACCTTTTGGGGTCCTCCTGCTCTATCTGCACGGGATAGGGGTACACAAGATTAAAAGTAGGGAACCAGTGCTTTTGCAGATGAGACAACTGTAAGACCACTTATGACCACTTACGTATGTTTTGTATTTGTCCTCTGTCACTCAACAAACAGCAGTACTTAAGAAATCTGCTTTCAATAACAAATCTATCAAGTGTGTCTGGTTGGATCTAATTAACAAAAGGTGAATGTCAGATGAGAAGGAAACAAATTACATTCAATTATCGCCTGTCAACATCCAAAATGGCACCAAGCAGTAGGACGACAGCATTCACAGACAAGACAATAGATACATAAACTGAAAAAGCAAAATTTATTATCCGTGGTGCATAATTACAACCTTGAGGCGTTTTCAGTGTTTCGTATCAGTGTGACCTTTATAGTTGTTAGTCAAGCTGATGGTTCAAGTTAAATCTATAATCTAACAATGTCAGAATCAGAGACCAGAGCTGCAGACCGAGGCATAGAGTCACCAAAAGGCATTTCACATGGTCCATATCAAAACAAATACATTTACATTTGTCTCATAATTTAAAAGTCTTATCTCTAAGGACTTGCCCAAAGTGTTTGATTTGACAATAGAATTAGATTGTTGTGCTAAATTACTGGCCGCAAGAGATCCAGGCAAGGCAAGTTTATATGTATAGCACGGTTTATACACAAAGAAACTCAAGGCAATTAACCAACGTTCACGGAAATGTAGCAATTGGATAAATGTCCCGGAGCATCCCCTGTCCTTAGACCCTCTTTCAGTGACAGAGGCCATAAAATACATCCATCTGAAAAGTAGTGATGGAGAGCGAAGAAGTAGTAACATGGATTTTTTTTATTTTCATTAGAGATACAGTTTTGAGAGGCAACTTAACACTTTATTCAAAATCCCTGTCACTTTGTGCTACATTTCCAGAAGAGACTCTAAACTCTGTATCGGCCTGAAATATTAAGAGCTATGATCACACCCCAAACTGCACACGTGAGGGCAACATTTCAAGCAGAAGCAGAAATCATCAGCCGAGGTGAGTTTGCGTCAGGAATCAAATTATCCCTGCAGCGCGCGGGTCACAGAAGCGGTTATGATCTGCGCAATTTACATGTATTTTCTAATGAGAGCGAGGACTGTGCACTTCTGATGCAAAGAAAGCTTCTGCAACGGCGTCAAATTCAGGTCATGCAGGTGGAATGTGTCAAAAATCAGAAAAAAACCGAAAGGATCATTACGGCTTAATTACAAGAGCAAATGATGCGGCAGCTGCAGATGGGGAAGAGGGTTTTAATTACAGGTTTCCATTCACTATACAGATGTAGAGATGTTGGATTTCCATTGTCGCACGTCACATTTGGGAAAAATAACACCCATTAAAATGGTTTCTGACTCAGTATCACCACAAATCTAAAGTTGAAACCAAAGTAGAGTGAATTAATATATTTGTTTTCCCCCGTAGTTTTAAGTAAGAACTGTTTTAAGTAAGAAGTGTTTTAAATAATTACTTTTACCACAATGGCAAACTATAATTATGGGTGACCTTGGTCTGTAAAATGCGCTATATCAATAAACATTGCTTACTTACTATATATTAAAAAAAAAATCCGATGCATCAATTCAAGATTAGTAATGGGAAAAATACATGGGGCTGCTCCATGTTAAGAGATTTCCTCACTCTGATAGAACCTCTGGTCAATAGTTGTAACTACCCACATTTTGCTATGTATTTTAATGGGTCTAAATGAAGCGGTCATGTTCAGAATTTGCATTTAATTTTTGTTACATGATTCATTAATCATTTGGTTTCATATAATCATTCTAGAAAAGCTGTGTGTAAAACTCAGCAGTATGTTGAAAGCAGTATGTGTCCCTCAGACCCATTAGACTGAAGTGTACAGTCTGTATAAAGAATTCTACAAACTCTTACTGTCATCACATTTGTATTTTTGTATAAAGTTTTTTATGTTTTTATGTTATAACACTTCAGACAAATGCCTTATTTTCAAATGATTCATCGGCAGTATCTCAGTTGGTAAAGTGTGAGTTCTATGAGCTGAAGGTTGACTCTTCAAATCCTGCTCTTAAGCAGTCAAATCGACTGACCCGCAGGTTGGCAGGTGAATACTGCTGTGTGTCCTTGGCCTGCGTACTCTGGTGTATGAATGTGTGAATGTGTGAATGTGTGAATGGGTGATTGGTTTCTTTGAGTGCCTTAAACAGGTAGAAAAGCGCTGTGTAAAGGTTTACCATCAGTAAGTGACCTCCTTTTGGTCACTTATGTTTGAATAAAGCCCTCAATTAAAAAAGCTTGGACATTGCTGTTCATTTGACGCAGACTTGGATGCAGACTGTATTATTTGATGGTGGATTATAAAGTCATCTTTATTTTTATACCGTCTTTCACAGACCAGAGTCACAAAGCGGTTTACAATTGTGGACATTATAATCATTTTTTGTACATAACTGAAATAATGTGCAAATACTGAATGCAAACATTTTCACCCAATAGATCCAAGTCAAATGGTATCTTCCAGTAGATTTCATGGCTAGTCTCTTTGCTAACATGATTGAGACTCATACAGTATCTGCTGAACTGTCTCATCTCGTTCTTGGGTTGTGACTGACCGGAGCAGTGAGGGAGGAGGGGACACCGACATCGGGCCGTGGTCCTGGGAGGAGTGCAGGTCCAGGAGGGTCTGTCTGAGATCCTGGAGCTGGGAGAGGCTGTATGTGTTCAGCACTGAGGTGTCTAGGTCCTCTGAGCCGCTGTCCTGGATCTGCTCCTCCAGACGACGCCTCCTCTGCTCCAGCTGCATCATCCTCTGCTGAAGCTCCGCCATCTCCGTCTGCAAACAGTTACAGACATGTTTGGACTCTGCAGCTGATGACTTAAGACATTATTGTAACACTCAACTTCATCAGAACATTTATCATTTGATTATTGAACGAAAGACCGGTAATCAATACTGTGAATTTTTGCAAAATGGGTAGTTTCAATGTTAGTTTGAAACCAAAATAATTGATTTGGAGGCTAAAATAGTAGATAATTAGACTTTTCCTTTAAAAATAGATAGAAAATGTATTGTGAGCCTTTCTGCTAGGAACTTTCTCACTTAAACAGCAGATTGATAATACCTTAAGGCCACGTTTAGATCCTGAGCCATGGACACCCCTGATACAGACCCCTCTTAAAACATTGACATTTCACTTTCGTATGTCTTTGTCATTCTGTAGTGTATTATTTGAGAATTTTTGGTTCCTGGACAAGACAAAGTGAATATGCTGTATGTAAAAAAAGTCATATACTGTATATTCATTCACCTCCACCAGTCGTTTCTCTTGGATGAGCCGATCTCTGCGATGCACATGATCCTCACTGTTCTCTGCTGCATCTGTGTCCTCCCTGTAAATAAAATATTCACAAATTTAATGATTAAAACCACAGAAACTGCATTGATTAAAGCAGGGATACTTAACTTTCAAACAACACATCAACACATTCCTTGCTCTCAAAAGAGTGTCCTTTTATCGCTATAGTTTTCACACATGTATTTTGGCCACTGTCACATATTTAGCTTTGCTCTCAGCTATTTCAGACAGAAAAGTGAAAAAGTGACTCGAATAGCCCAGATTTTTTTTATACAAGTACGCAAAAGATAACATATTTTCTAATAAGATGTATTGGTCTGATTTGCTGCTTTTACAAGAATAAATTTACTCTAAACTAAATGTGTTATTTAAGAGAAAAAATATGTGCCCAAACTTTATGAAAGGTCAGATTAAACTGAGGTGATTATTTGTTTATTTTAATGTTTCTTATATTGTTTTGTTAAGCACTTTGAGATGCATTTTGTATGAACTGTGCTATACAAAAAAAAAACCGTGCCTAACAAATATCCTTCTGTGATCATACTCAGCAGTGTTATAATTATAGCAGCAATGATCAAAAAATGTCATCCCCACTAAAGCAAAGCCTTGAATACGACATACAAAACTGAGAACGAACGACACAATCCCCATTAGCAGAGCATGTCATTGAATCAGATGTGCTCCGTGGATAATACAGTTGATGACAGAGAGACAGTCGCTCAAAGTACTGCTGCTTTTGTTGAATAAGGTCATGATGTTCTGTGAGGGTCTGAGTATACGCTCTCATGTGGCACAAGGCCAGAGAAAAACACATTCTACTGATAAATAAAAGAGAAAATGAAACGCTGATCCAACTGTAGTGGCAGAACATAACAGAGTGGTTTCAACAGTTCAGGGTCTGCGGAAAATCTGACAAACATAAAGAGGTTTTCTGCAATAGTTTTATTCTTGTAATGTTTCATAATTTAGTCGCTTATACTTTTCTCAAATAAACTTATTTTCAAATGGAAGGTTGTGAGAATGCATCCATTCATGGTCTCATTAGAGAGTCCTTCACTCGTGGGGCATTTTCAGTGTATCAATACCTGTAGGGTATTATAAAGGAGCAGAACAGTAATGTGAAAAGAAAGTAATGTGGGAAGATTAGAAAGACTTTTTTGAGCATGTTTGATTTTCTATATAATACACTTGGATCAGAATGACTTTGCTCTGTTCATAAAGACTGCAGTTTCAATGTGTGGTGTGTCATGTGATGGAAAACCAAACCTAATTAACCTAAATATAATAATAAAACTTAATAATTAATACACCATTACTAGTGTCAGGAACAACTTCACTTTTGATCCGCTTGTACATTAAAGTGAATAAAGACGACCACTATCACTCAGAAAATTATAGTCTTTCTTACAAGAATGACAAATATTATTCTAGTTTCCTGTGGTCGGATTTGTTCAAGAAGTAGAATTTACAAAGGCTATTAATGTTGGGATCGACCTGTGTTGTGCTGCAGAGTCTGTCCGCTGGAGGGCGCTGTTCACCACCAAACTGAGGCGCTGCAGGAGCTGAGCCACAGGGGGCTGGCGAGACGGTAACCCCAGCCTCAGGGCGCTCCTCTCCCGGTGCAACTCCTCCAGCTTCTTCCCAAACCGCTCCGCTGGAACAACCGGTACACCTCACATTAATAACGTGACACAAAACAAGGCTCGGCAATCAAAACGGTCGTATACTGTGCATAAGCATAGTTATTTGTTGCTAAAATTCAATTCGTAAAAACATGTGACTGTAGCACACTTTCTCAAAAAAAAAGGGCCGTTTTTGGTCACTGTCTATTTTACACAACCCCTGAAAAAACAACGGTACCATTATATGATACATTACAATGCTCACATAAAATAACAGTAAACATAAGTGTAGGTAGTTTAACTTTTCATTTAGCTTCTTGTTAACCAACTAGTCCCTTTTTTAAAGCGTCTTTGAGTGTCCAAAATAAGCACTATAAAAGTATGAAATATATCATTACTATTTTTATAATAATCCTTATTATTGTCATTTATAAGTTTACCGATAACCATTACAATTATCAATTGTAATGGTTAATTTTATGGAATCAAATGATTTTATCAGATCTTATGCCAACAAGAAGATACCCATTAGCATTATTGGATTATCTGCATCTGATTTTCACAGTTGTTAATGCTTTCCTGCTATCTCTGATTTGTGATCAATGAAACATTGCCATCTATAGCTTGGCTTTTTTATTGCTCATGCATCTCAACAGGTCAGTGCAAGTGGGTGATAAGTTGACGCCATAAGTTAATTTTCAATAAACCAACAGAAACATGAAGTGTCATTTTGACACAGATCACAGGCACAGAGCAGCAGATGCACTCTTGTGTTTTGGTCACAAGCTTCTTAAAATAGGTCAGGGAACTTCAATACTTCCTTTCAAAATAAATTGTCCAGGATAACTTCAAAACAGGTTTCTCTTAATGTTTGTTACTAACTATTATCAATGAGAAGATTTGCGAGCAATATTATGTTTCAGCTTTGATGGTCAAAAGCTTCTACGAAAACATCACATTTTAAAATAAATCTGTGGCCTAGTTTCTTCACATCAGTCTAGGTCTAATGCGGTTAGGATTAGCAAGAAGACCAAATTAAGTCATCGTAGATACATCAAAAATCTCAATCACTTTTTGAATGTGCCTTTGAAAAGTTGACCAGCGGCGGCATGGGAGCAGTTGACTGACCACTGCTGTGACCTAAAAACGTTTGTTCAATACCACAGAGGTTGGTGGTGAAACGTCTATTGACAAATGCTTTATATAGCACCTATTGGGTCACTGTGCAAGTGTGGTGGCAAGATAGATGCAAAGTTACAGCCATGTACCAACCAGACTGCCTCAGGGCGGTTGTGACTGAAGAGAATTTAATTGAAAGAGAGAGGTTGAGTTTGGCGACAGTAGCTCAGTTGGTCATGGGTTCAATTCCCGCCTCTGCACCTTCTCCATCAACTCCCACTGATGACTGCTGTCGTTGTGTCCTTGGGCAAGACACTTAACCCCACTTTGCCCAAAGCCCCCACTGAAAGATCAAGCCTGTGGACTCACCCCCTGCAGAGGGTCAGTGAGGGGCTGGTGCTATGAGACTTGGGTGGCATCTCTGACTGCCACCCCCCTGACCCAGAAATGGATTAAAGGGTAGAAAATGAATGAATGAATGAATGAATGAAGGTTGAGTTTGGTGAAGCGACCAAACTTGTGCCTAGGATTCAACTTTTTTCGGAGAACTGTGTCTCTGGGAACCTCACTTTCAACCTGTTTGAATATGACTTTTTTGACAGCTTCTACCATATTTTTGGTGAAAAATCAAATCGTAATTGTTCACATCAACATTGAAATCAAGCCATAACTATAGGACAGATACTGTATGGGTGGGCCTGATTAAGCCAGTACTGTCAGTTGGTTTTTGAGTCCAGACACCATGGTCAAATTTTAACATGGAGTGTGACTGCTTTGACACCGGCTGAAGAGGCCATTGGCACAGTGTTGCAGCCACATCCCTGCCCTGCGACCATCAGAGCTTACCATCAGAAGAGAGAGTGGGGTGTGAATGAATAATGCACTGTAGCATCAAGTGCGTGAAGTTGCAATAGCTCTGTATCAGGATGACGTCACACAAGTGAAAAATGAATCTGACCGGAATATTTATGTATAAGACGCAATCCTAATGTAAGCTTCCTCCAGAACCATGGAGCCTTCAAACTAGCCAGCACTTCAAAAACAGAATATGTTTCTTTTGCAGGTGAAAGTAGGTCATTCAAACATCACAAGTTTTCCATTCACTACCATCACACTGGCCGAACTATGACTGAGTGCATGGGAACTACAGTATGTATTTGTGACCATATATGGGCATCCTGACAATGCTAAACTTATAACCAGTGGGGGCGGGTCCCAGCTCAAAAGTGGCTAAAATGACGTGCGCTGACATGCTTGCAATACCACCCCGGGCCAATGGGGGTGGACCCAGAAGAAGAATTAGCCAATGCTAAGATATAGCGTTAGCAGACCTCTCGAAAACGTCTTTACAGGATGGACCAAAAGCTGGCTTTTGGCCCAAAGCTCCGTTCTACATGTGTATCAATGCTGAGGGGGGTGAATTTTTTTGGACCACTCTAGTTTACTTGCTGTGAATCTTTGAAGTCTCTCGTTCAAATGAATGGAGCTGCGCCGGCTGACGCATGCGCAGATGCGTTTTTTCACAATTTTCTTGTGGGCGGGACCACTCGCGGCCATTTTGGATTGCTCCAGTAGAGCAGAATTTTTGGCCCATTAGTTAGAACGCCGGAGATAGGCGTGACTCTGTCCGTTAATATATACAGTCTATGCTTATAACGCAATAAAGCCCAATAGGGAAGTGCAAATGCATAGTTTAGCCCTCTCTATGATCCTGGTATTTTTAGGCCGAGCCAATACGAAGTATTGGGGAGGCCTATTGTTATTCACCGGTTTCATATTATAATACTTCTTTTTTTCCCGCAACTTCAATTCGATTTTTGACCCTGAAGACATGCACGAAAGTCTGCACATGGGGGGTCTAAAACGACCGGTTCGGCGAAAAATTTGATAAAATGAACGTTTCCAGATTGTCCGACGCTCGCCGACTCAATAACGCCCCCTAGAAATTTCATTTTTTTTGACCCTCTGGGGATTTTTTTTCAAATTTTGGAGTAGGTACACGAAATTCGGATGAGTGATAGATCTCTATGAGACGAGCATAAAAGCCGTTCTAAGCACATGTCTGGGACCAACAGGAAGTCGGCCATGAGGGGCCGAAGTTTCGCCACTAATTTGACTTTTCATTTATAAATTCGAACTAGTCCCTGGTTTTTCATCACACAGAGTTCTACCACGTCATTTCCCGCTCTGGACGGATTGAAGTTATTTAATCATCGAAAAAAAGTTAGACAATCTTCACAGTTTTCGTCCCTCGCCATGGCGAATAAGGCCTTCGTTTTGGCCATTTTCGCTGAGCCCTGAGGGTCACAGGCTCAGACCTACAGAGCTGAGACTCACATCAGTAATATTAGGTTATGGCCTGAACGCAATGACACTAAAATCATTTGCCCAATTTGAGCTCTTTAGCGCCACCTGTCGGAAAGTAATAGGGCACTAGTGCTCGGATCGGCCCGAAAATTGCTGAGTATAGTCTCTGGACCGAGACGAGCAAAAAATTGCATTACGCAAAAGTTGTAAGTCCCACACCTGACCACCGGGGGCGCCGGAAAGTGAATGAATGAGCTCTTTTGGGGCAAAATGTTTGTCCGATGAGGCTAAAAATGAATTCAGAAATACAGCGTATGACCCTGAACACCACGATATGCAACACACAACTGTGAGTGCAACAGCGCCACCTACAGGCAGTTCAAGGTGTCGCATGTTTGGCTTCGTACTAGTCCCTGGATTTTCATCGCACAGACTTCTACCATGTCATTTCCTAATCTGGATGGATTGAAGTTATATAATCATCGCGAAAAAGTTAGAAAATCTTCACCGTTTTCGTGCAAGTAAGCAGTTTATTTCATATAGTAATATTACACTCAGAGCTACAATACCCGACCTGACCACCAGGGGCGCACCTCTTGCCTTAATACAAATTATAGTGACACAGTCTGCTGAGTCTTCCTACTGATTGTATTGTATTGTATGTACTTTATTTGAACAGGGACAGTGTACAGTTAAGCATTAACCAGTGATGGGAATAACGGCGTTACTAGTAACGGCGTTACTAACGCCGTTACTTTTTTCAGTAACGAGTAATCTAACTAATTACTTTGACAGTAACTATAACGCCGTTATCATTTCCGACATCCCGTTACTGCGCGTTACTCAAGACGCACAATGAACGTGTTGTCATGAGAGAAGGGAGGATGAGAAAACCTCTCAGCAATTATTGGCTGATGTAAATCATATTTCCTTTACAATCTACATGTCTACAGTTGAGAGGATGGTCATAAATTGTGTTTTTGAAACAAATATGGGTCTTAATCGCGCTCAACCACGGCTTGTATCACCGTGAGGTCAGCCACAGAGGAGCGCATGTGAGCGCAGAAGTCGGCTGCATACAATTCCATCGATAAGCTCCTTGCTCTTCCTGGTTTATCTGCTAAGGACAGCAACAGGTTTGGCTAACATACATATAACACATTTTTACATAATCTAAATTGCACATAGGGTAATTTTTCAATTACTATAGGAATGATAAGAAAGAGAGGTGAAGTGTAAGACGGTTGATTTTAGAAATTGGATGCAGCCGGCTGCAGCAAAACAGAGGAGTTTACGGAGGACACACGCGTTTTGTTTTACTTTTTAAAACTCATTGGACTCATTTCCAAATGGAGGATTACATATCTACGCTCAAACCATTCACTGGATTTAAACAAGGAACTGGTCTGAACCGAAGTGGACTGTGCAGGTCATTTATAACTGGTAAGACCCATAACTCATAGTTTTGCGTTTTGTATGAACAAACAATGCGGGCATAAAACATATTTTGCTGTAGCCAAACAAATTGTCCACTTGATTTATATGATGTATATGTTCATCTGATTGGACTGAAGTCAGTGCTTCACCAGCCTCACCGCTCGTCACC